TCGCTGAGGATCCTCCATCAACCAAAATCCGATTTACCCTTTCATCGCACATATAGCCAACCAGGTACAATGGGCGGTTATGAGGAGTGTCACCTAGCAAAAGATCGTCATTTGTGAACGTGACCTTTTCCTCACAAGCATTAACTTCTTGAGGAGTGGATTCGATGGGCTTTTCCGAAGATGGAGCCAACGGTAGGTCATCACTCTTTTCTTCCCCTTTGTCAGCATGGCAACAAGAGGCATCAATGCCCTCATGGGAAATCTTCGTGCGGAACCAACTTGCTAAAAACTCCTCCAAGGTCACTGGATTTCGTGGCTTTTGAGAATGGTGCATCTCCACTTCTACTTTCTTCAAATGCCTAACTGGATTCTTGTTCGTTGGTCTTTTTACCATCATCTTCCTTGTTGGTTGTTCTATTGATTCTTTTCGTGGGATCCTTTTGTGGTGCCTACGACGAGTCACCAATGTCCAACCTTCATCATCATCAGGTTGATTGACTTCAGCTTTGTCGCTCTCCAGTAATTCTTCATCTTTACTTTCTTTAAAAACCACATAAGTCATCCGGACTGAATGAGCCAAAGGTGATAGAGACTTGGTTTGCGCTTGCTTTCTCATCTTCAAGCACGATCTTCTTTTCGCGAGCCAAGTCCATGGCTCTATCCTTGAAGACAAAGCACTTCTCCAGAGGGTGGCTTACAAGTCGGTGATATTTGCAGTAATTTGGGTCATTTGTTTTCCCAGCTTCATTTGGTCGCTTCATCTCTGGAAGCTCAATGAGATTTAACTCGAGGAGTTCTTCGAAAATGGCTGGCACATCAGAATCTAAGAATGGGTACTCTTTCTCCTGCATTTCTTTTAGAGTCAACTTTCCACTTGGCTTGTCTTGAAAAGAAGTGGATTTCATACTCTGCTTCTTGCTCACCTTCGTCGTGAACTTCATAGGTGATGTATTGACATTCATAGCTTCTTTGCTTTCAGACTTGGGTACGAACTTGCCCCACTTCCTGACTTCTTGCTTGTCATTCGCTTTGCGAGGTTCATAGATGGGCAGCCTTTCATTTCCAGCGGAGGCCATGCTCAATTCCATGTCATGGGCACGAGTTGCAAGTTCTTCAAATGTGCTAGGCTTGATACCTTGCAAGATGTAGTGCAATCCCCAATGCATGCCTTGGATGCACATCTCTATGCCTGAAGCTTCACTAAGCCTGTCTTTGCAGTTGAGCCTTGCATTCCTCCAACGATTGATAAAGTCGATAATTGGTTCCCCCTTTCGTTGACGAGTATTTGTAAGCTCTATCATACTCACAATGCGTCGTGTGCTATAAAAGCGATTGAGGAATTCTTGCTCTAGTTGATCCCAGCTATCAACAGATCCAGCCTCGAGGTCCGTGTACCAATGAAAAGCATTTCCTTTTAATGAGCGGACAAACTGCTTGACGAGGTAATCTCCATAAGTCCCAGCATTGTTGCATGTCTCAACAAAGTGCGCCACATGTTGTTTTGGGTTACCTTTACCATCAAACTGTTGAAACTTTGGAGGTTGATAGCCAGCAGGCATCTTCAACATATCGACCCTTGCAGTGTACGGCTTTGCATATGTAAGAGAGGATTTGGCAGCAACTTCATATTTGTTCTTAATGGTTCCTTCAATGAACTCCTTCAGTTGATCGATTGGAATCATCCCTTCAGATGAGACAGGGATAGCCTTAGTGGATGCTGCTTGTCTTGGGGGAGAGTCACTCTCTAGAACTTCTGGGAGCTTGCCGGGTGCATGGGTAGATTCTTCTTCCATCAAGATTCCCACCCTGTCTGTTAGCTTGTCAATTCTAGCCTCTTGATTTTGCATGCATTTGGTCAAGCCAGCGATTGCTTCCGTTTAGTTTGCCAACTGCTCCTCCATAGATGGAGTGTTTGTCACCATGGCTTGCATGATTGTCGTGGATGACGGAGAGTAGCATGGATTTTCACACAGATTGATCCTTGATTGGCTCACGCTATGTGGTGTAAGTGGGGAGGATCCATCACTTGAAGCATCATCATCTTCCTTCATAGTAGAGTGCTTGGAGCCGGAGAGGTCAAGCAGAGCAAGAGTTTTCTTGATCTTTTCAGCAGCATCGCTTCCTCCTTCAGATGCGTTTGTGGAAGATCTTGCTCCTTTTGAGGATAAAGATCCGAAAACAGGGGTTGATGCGGACGGCACTTGGGGTTCTTGTTGTCCTAAATAGCTTGCTTTGCTCCTCGTAACTGGTTCGAAGCTTCCAAAGGTGACATCGAGGATGCTTTCCACATCAGCATAGAACCTGGAGTTAGCAACCTTGGTGGAAGTTGAACCGGAGTTGATTTTCTTTGAAGCCATTTCAATGTTCTTGGTATTTGGTGAATGAAAAGTTGAGATGAGAGGTAGAGATTGTCCCACTAGGCGTGCCAGAATTTGTAGACAATAAAATTGCGTCGAGAAAAACAATCGTAGTATTTTATTTTTAAATATTTTGAGTGTACAATCTCTATGAATCCTCTGATTCTTCTTTTAGACAGTAAATAAATTCAAGGGCCTTTGAGCTTGATCTTGAATATGTAGTTGTCGCCACGAACGATGATCTTGTTCTTGAGCTTTAGCTTGATTGCTTGAACTTGACCTTGATTTGTTCTTCGTTCTTGAGCTTGAACTTGATTTGTTCTTCGTTCTTGAGCTTGAACTTGATTGCTTGAAGCTTGAAACTTGTAGAGAAATTTGCGGCGTTTGATCCACGAACTCTCTCTTGCTTCTTGTTATAGCTTCTGGTGTCTTTTCTGAGTTATGAAGACCCCTATTTATAGTTGTGGAAGAGGGAGGAGTTGTGATAAGAACAAATTCTTTCCGACCAATCAAATTCAAGCGTGACATGGCCGCATTTGATTGGCCAGAACATGTCACTTGCACACGTGGCGCGATTTCATTGGCCTTTTAGTGTGACTGGGCATGCCTTGTCATTTTGACACGTGGCATGGTCCTATTGGCTCTTCCGCTTGACTTGGCGCACCACGTCATTTGACATGTGGCACCAAACTGGGCCTCTAGGAAGATGTCATCTTGGGCTTAATGAAGTGAGCTCATCACTTTAGCCCAATTAAATGGGCTATCCCAATAGATTAAGACTTATTTATTTAATAATCCATATATATTGGACTTATATAATTAATTCAATCATATTAGCCCATAATATTTATTTGGACCAATATATCTTGAATTTAAAATATAGACCAAATTAATTTTATGGTTTTAAATCCAACAAATTTTGTATGCCTACAAATATGTATGTGAAAAGTTACCCGCTTTATTCTTCAATTTGTACTACAAATAAAAGAATATCACAATAAAGTGGATGTTTATTGATATAAAAACCCATATCATAATAAACTTGGAGTTTATTCATAATTGCACACGTCATGGTGTAAACTTAAAGTTTATCAATATTGATAATTTATCAAGTAGGCATAATTGGTTTAGCCATATTAATAAGTATGATGTGCAAAAATAAAAGAGAATTCACATGGGTAAATAAAAAAGAACTAGAAAGTTCTTTATGAATTCTCTTATGTTGCTTGTTCTCATTAATTAATAGACCAACTAAAATTGGGATTGAATCCCACGAATGCTGAAAATATCAAAGGTGAAGATGGGCTCATTCACCTGTCATGTATACCACATAAGATGCATCTATGAAATGGTTGCATGTGCGATTAGTATTAACCTGCAACTTGGTGTTTGCGAGGTAAGTTGCTCAATAATTAAATTTAGAGCATAATTTTCAGATTTTCTATTCAAGACAGCTCATCTTGATAATTTGGTTTATATCATAGTTGATTTAGCAAAATAATTTATTGAGTACCTCCGCTTAATAACTAAATTGTTGCTTATGAGAACGAATTATTTATATTAGTTGATATACGTTATATACGAAAGTATAATACATTTTTCCCTCACAAGTGGTTCAGGGTCATGAACTAAATACTTCCATCTTATTATTATTATTATTATTATTATTATTATTATTATTATTATTATTATTACTATTATTATTATTATTATTATTATTATTATTATTTATGTGCGGTGTATATTTTGATTAACACCATAACGCACAAAGATGTGTTTCCAAAGTTGAGGAAGAAAGTTAGTTTTCCTAACATGAGGGGGGAGACAAGATAAACAGTTGAGAAAAAGTTACATCGAATGAATTATCATTTGTACATCTAGATCCTCGAATAAGATAATATGAACTTGAAGTTCATTAAAAGATAATTTATTTGCAATATATTGCAAAGCATGTCAGACGCATTTGCTGACCCAAAGAAAGTAACTATATTCTCATTGCAAATGCTCATATTAAGTCCTAGAAGGACAAAGTCTATCGTACGTTTAAAGCGTATAGACAGATCGGTTTCAAATAAACTTCTTGATAAAGAAGATGAGCAAATGTTCATAATAAATGAGGCAAGTGATATAGAAGATCACATGACATAACACTTCTAAGTGCTATTTGCGCACATATGTATCTTGCTATAACTATAAGCATGATAATGTGATAGCGAAGATTTTCAAGGTGCAACATATTTATTGGAGTTATCATATCTCTGTTGACGTTAACCTTCAAGAAGCTAGTGCACAAGATTGGAATGTGAAGGCTCAAGGATGTTAATACGCGTTGTACTCTTTTTCTCTTACAAAATTTTGTCCCACTAGGTTTTCCTTGCAAGGTTTTTTGATGAGGCAACCAAAAGGCATATTATTAGATATGTGTACATTATTTGTTGAATAGACATTTAAGGGGCAGTGTTATAAATAGAATTTTATTTAAGGTAAATATCTATATTTTAGCAGAGATTTTAGGATTTGTTACTTGATAAAGAAATCATATTCCATTGTAATTAATCTCAAATCAATAAAAATTCTCTCTCGCTTGACTTTTCTATGCAGTATTCTTTGTTCATAACACTTTTTAAATAATTTCTCATTTCTCACATATCTTTAGCTTTATTCGTGCGTTACCAGAACTTGTGTCCAAGACCAACCACCATTGCAACATCCGAGAAGTCAAGTGATGAGGTCCTTATTGTACAGTACAGTCACCATTCCAATCACCTCAAAATTACCAAACTGCCACTCCTCTCACTCCCCTCACTCTCTGAAACTCCCATTTCTAAACTTTCTTCATCCTTCTAAATACCCATTTCTTCAACACTCAGACCCTCTCGTAAAAATCCATAAAAGAGTAATAATCAAAGCTCCAATGGCATCCCAAGAATCAAACACAGAAGCAAACTCACAGCAGACCAAACCATTCTCTGTTCTCTTTGTGTGTCTTGGTAACATATGCAGAAGCCCAGCTGCTGAAGGTGTCTTTACCGACTTGGTCAAAAAAAGAGGACTTGATTCCAAGTTTAAAATTGATTCTGCTGGTACTATTAATTATCATGAGGTATAGCCAATTGGGTGTCTTTAAAATATACATATAGTTTGGAACTTTCTTGGAATTGATCATGTTTAAGATTGATTGTGCTGGTACTATTAATTATCATGTGGTGTATCCACTTGGGTGTCTGTAAAAAAGTTGTAACTTTTATGGTTTTGAAGCTTTCTTGAAATTGATTATGTTAATTCTGTTCTGTTTTTTTAAAAGGGAAATGAAGCTGACCCAAGAATGAGGGCTGCTGCTAAAAGGCGTGGAATTGCGATAACTTCTATATCTAGGCCAATTAGGCCTTCTGATTTCAAAGATTTTGATCTCATTCTTGCTATGGATGAGCAAAACAAAGGTGGATTTTTTGCAACAATCCTTTGTCAAATTCTTGGAGAAGTATTTTTTAGCTTTTCTTTCTTATTGATTCTTTTCATGGTTTGTGCTACCCTTTATGTTAAGCTTCACAACTTCTGTGATAATGTTGATTGTTTGAACATATGTACTGTAACAAGAGCTGATATTTCCCCCCTCATAGCTGATATACTTGGAGCTTTGGAGAGGTGGATCCATAGAGAGACATTGCCTGCTGATGCACCTGAAAAGGTTTGCTAATATATAGATCTTACGCTGGTATTCGTTATCAAGTGCAATTCTTAAATCTGTTGTTCTCACAGTGCATTTAACGTTCAGGTTCGCTTGATGTGTTCCTATTGTAAGAAGCATGAAGAAACTGAAGTTCCAGACCCTTACTATGGTGGAGCTCAAGGTTTTGAGAAGGTAATGTCTGATAATCCGTCTTATCTTGTTAAGACATGAGAAATAACCCAAAAGCTGCCTGATTTTTACATTTTAGATGGCTATACGGGAGAAACTCACTAATGCTTATTTTGTTAACTTTTGGAGCATTATGATAGTTCTAACACAGAAGGTTATATTCTATTGGCTTGAATTTGGTAGTTAATTCACAAGACTCTGCCAATTTATACCTCAAACAATGCAGCAGCAGAATGAATAATGGATAATAAACACAATTGTTAACTACATTTTCATGGAAAGAATGGATAATAAACAGGAGACACCATTCAGTTTGGTCTGGCCTACTATGCTTAGTTTATGTGTTATCCATAGTACAGCCTGCTGTCATTTTCTTATGGTAGAAGCCTATTCTCGAAAAACTAGTGCTATTTGAAATATGCACACAACAGCAATACTTATCTTTACATGCATTAATACCCAATGCAAAAGCAATTTATCTAGCTTCTAACCTCATATTACCTTTCCTCTTAATAGCTTAGGCTGCAAGGAGAAGAAAGAAGCTAAAGAATGGCCTCTTGAGTTATATCCGTTGTAGCTAACTCTCCTTTCACTTCTTACCTTCTCATTTTTTCTATCCTTCTAACTCCCTTATCCCTTTCCAGTCCCTCTATCTCCCTGAATTCATCCATTAACTCCCTTATCTTGACTTCAACGCTCTCCAACACCTCCTTGTTCCGTTCCCTTAAATTCCCTTTTAAGCGCTTCAGGTTCATTGCTAGATGGAATGACTCCAGTGACTTGATAGCTTCACCACTGTGACTTCCTGCCTCCAAAGCCCCTCTTTCAACTACATGTTCTCTAACGTGAAAGGAGCCCGTGTTCTTCTCACTTTGGTAGAGTCTAGCATAATGGATAAGTGGTCTGAAGCAAATCTGCGTAAAGGTACTTGAACCATGTTCGCCGCCATCTCCTCCTAATTGGCGGAAGCCAGGAATCTGTCATCCTGATTTTGACCTTGGTTCCTCTACCCTGGTCCACATGAACTTTGCACCTTTCAGTGGAAATTCTGCAATTGGAGGCACTGAAGTTTATGTTATATATGCTCAAATGAAATCAAGAAAGTTCTATATTGCAATTCTTTCAATATTGCTGTTCTTTTGTTTAATTTCTTAACAATTTTTAATATGTCAACCAGATTATGCCTTCCATGCACGTTTCCCATTTTTAGAAGAATTTATCTCCAGGATATCTTTTCCAGCTTTTCCACTTCTTTTAGCTCCATAGCAGCATCAACCTTCTCTGGCAATTTATCAGTCTGATAAATTCGTTTCCTCCTGATATTACCAAAACCATTATCTTATTCAGCAAGTGTGTAATCTTCTTCTCAGGGCATCCAAAAGGAATTAGTGTTTTGCTCCTCAATTTTAACTTAGTAGCTTCAGCGTCCTAGCCGACACATTATCAGGATTCCCCTATCTACAAACAAGTCCCACCAACCATTAACCATGTGAGCGAACCCCTCGGATTCCACCCCGCATGTTTGAAACTCTAAAGTAGGACTTTTTCCTCTCTCAGATCATAACTCGTGTCGCCTCTTGCTTTTCATATAACCTACAGGTCTTACGAAATAAGTCCTACATATGAGCCTTGATGCTTGTTTTGTCATCCCATTTTCATCAGCCTTAGTTGTAGGTGTCTTCAAGGTAGAATATAGGAGTCCTACAATTTAGGCTATTGACAATGGCCATTTTCAAATATTTGGTTGGAAAAATCCAGGGAGGTGTTTTGGAGAACTGCTAAGTCCTTGAATGTGTGAAAAGGAGTTAAAAAGAAATTTGGATACGCTCGTAGTACCAAGGTCTTCTCAATAAGCCGGGAACAATTTTCTTTTCTTTCCTGTTGAATGATTTCTACAGAAAATGCTAAGAAAGCCTTTTCCTTAAAAGCAAAATCTCTTTTGCGGTGATAAGAATTTCTGCAATGGGGCCCTTCTGAAGCTCTTAAAAGATCCTATTTATTTAATATAACGGTGTTTTGCTGCTACTGTCTATATATTATGTGTGGCACCATTTATTTGGGTGATTTATAGTTTGCATTTGTTAGCCATTAATCTTGCGGTTGATGCTCAAAGCGACATGCATCTAATGCTCAACTCCACCACATCTTGCTCACAGGTACTAGATCTGCTTGAAGATGCTTGTGATTCACTGTTGGAAAGCATTGTGGTGGAGAAGAAAATTTAGGCTCAGAGATCTATTTTTATCACCAGAATTCTTACTGCCAAATAGGAAATTGGTTATTTAAAGCGTATACCATGCACTCTTTCCTCATTGTTTGAACTACAGCGACTTGTGAAGCCAGATTCCAATATATGCTCTGCTTTGTGTTTATTGTTTACATGACAAGGTCAAGCAAAGATCTGTACAAATATACATATACAGAGGTGAATCTTGACACTACTCATGTACTTTGACCTGTTTCTCACCTCTCCCCTTGGCTCGTTCGTGAAGAAGTCTTGTAGCAAGGTGATGCATTATCACATGCCAATTCTGCTTCAGATATTTGGTCAAGAGAATTTTCTTCTTTTGCGCATGCTATTTTGTTCTAAGGACATGCTAAAAAACTACTGCATCAAAATTAAATGAGCAAATGTATCTGCTTGTGACAGTAGCAGAGCATACAAGCTAAATACCAAAATAATGTGCATTTTTATCAGGTCCCCACTTCCATGAAGTGCTGGTGTTAATTCAGTGCCTGCATTTCACTTCCAATATGAAACTTTTTATCTTGTCAAGAGAGATAACTTTGTGGAGCTGGCAACTTTGACACAATGCTTCCTTTCTTCAACGATCACAATTCCTTGACCATGTATTTTTATGGTAAAGGGGTTCTTAATGACACTTGTTTAGGTTGAACTTGAGCATTCTTGCTAGTTGTGAGGTCCTTATTTCACTTGAAATACTCTCCGAACAAGTTGTTCAATTTCAAATCCTCTATTTCAAGTTAAAGTTGGAAAAATGGACAGAATTGTATAACATACATTGACTTGCAAATAATATTTCAATATCAGATAATACATGTGCAACTGCCTACTTAAAGATCCCTGTAATCTGCCACTGATAAACGTATTGGAAAAAAAAAAAGGTTCCCGGTTACTTTTGTGGAGATAACTGCTCCAACAGGGACAGGGAAGTGAAATATGAAAAAGAAAATCAGATACAATGTGCTGGGATTATGATGAATTTACAGAGGGAAAATTGATACAGGACAGCACCTTCATATGCCATGTTGCCACAAATTTTCAATCAGCGGTATATCGCGCAGATATAGTAACTATACAAACGCTTTTTTAAGTAACAACTACAACTATGTCTCAATCCCATATATATGAATCTTCACTAACCATATCGTTACATTTAAGCTCATCTCAAACCAATATTACACAAAAGCTTAAGTAACAAAAAGAAAATTTTCATATGATGAAAGACTGTTTGACTCCTTTTCGTGAACGTTTTCGCCTTGGGTTTGAACTCAGAATGCTTGAGAAGGCACTTAGAAGTTCTGTATCCTCCACATTGATTAAAATCTTTGCAGCTTCTGGATTGGCAATAAGTTGCTTTGCCACTAGATATCCTGCAATAGTCCAAGTCTGAAAGAGACGTGCCTGTTTCCCGATGAACCCTCCTCGCCTTGTATCATAGTATTCGGGCCACTTGTCTCTCGCTAAGCGTCTCTCTGCAATCTTAATTGCCTTTTCAGCTATTTCTGGCCTCTTCATTTTTATGCATGCCACTGTCAGCTGGAAACAGTTCACATTTATAATAATCAGCCCATCTTTTTCGATTCTACTATATGTTAAAACATTTCTGTGAATGCTCATATGAGATGACACAACACCATTCCAGCTGCGGTTATATACTAAAAATTGCCTACTTCTTACATTACATTTACATCTAACACATGTATAGCTCATGTCTTGCATAGAGTTAAAAAGCATGACTTCAGTGCCAAAGATTCATTTCCTAGTACATAATCCAGAAAAACATGAAAGCACCAAAAAAGGAATCAGTTTTCAGATCTTTTTGTGATTAACTGATAAAGGGTAGGAGATCTATAAACAAAATGAGCAGAGTAAAGAAAGCAAAACCCAGTTTGATGCTTATTCTATCTTATCATCTATGGATTTATCGAAGATCATTAACCACTCTATGTCTCTGTCTGGTGGTAAAGGCCCCTTTCCCGTGATGTTTCTTCCTATGCATTTAAGTTAAAGGCATCTTCAAAGTTAAACCATAAACAAACAGATTACACTTTTCCTTAACTACTGCATTATATGTCACACCGAATTTTAAATTTTCCTTCCAAGACAATGCAGTATATCAAGCTTGTGAACATCCGTCTCATACATTTGTGGGTGAAACTCATAGTGGCAATCCGTAAACAGGAATAAATTAACGGACCACTAGGCAACCATCGGGGAAAATATCAATGCTGTTAAATGCCTCAGCAAGGGGGCGGGTGGAAGGATTCACCTTTTACAGCATCGAGGCATCTGCCCCATCAGAGGCGGACTCAGGATTTGAAGGTCGAGGGTTACTTTTGAATTCAACCAAAATGTGCTTTGTATATAGGGTGCCACTAAAAAATCGTGGGATTAAGCCCCATTCCTTAAGACTAACGCTGCCCATGATAGGTTCTACCCTCTCCTTTTAAACAATGATTATTCAATATAGACTAAACATCTGCCTATCACATGGGTTTGTGGTGAGCAGCATTTGGTTAATCACAACCATTTCTGAAGGAACAACTCAAAATTAGTCCCCTTCTTTCTCAGATAGGAATTAGGAAGTGATGACAGCTGTAAGTGCTGAAAGCATGAAATCATATGTGTGCATACTGAAGAATGGTAAACTTACCTGCCAGAGCAAAGTTGGCCAGGATCCTCCGTTATGGTAAGACCAAGGCCTGCACCACGAGTATTAACAAAAGTATAAGCGAGGAAAATTACGACGAGGACAGAAAACAATCTACATAAAATAAATAGAAAAGAAAATAAGGCATTACGTGTTTTTCGGATCACCGCCAGTAATAATGCGCCATTCCTGGCTCTCAAGAGCAGGATAACATATCTTTAGTGGCATATCAGCTACTAAGTCCTCCCATTTGGCTTCAATAAGATCTAAAATAGCATGTGACTGATCTATTGTAGCAAGACTGCTAACAATGGACCATAAGTTCCCAAGTGCAAAGAACCGGAAATCCATGTGAGCTGGCTGCAAGTTTCCAATAAGATAGCCCCCTTTACTAGGCATCCATTCCACCAGCCAGGGAGGAATTTGATCCGGATATATATTGAACTTGTTGATCGCATCATATGAATATTCCTCTGTTTTGTATCTATAAATCTCGTTCAATTTTTTCACATCGATCCAGTAGTATTCCCTGATATGAAATGACAATGCTAGAAGCCGATTGTTAAGTGCTCTAACAAGGTCTGTTGATGCCTCCTCTGGAGCAAGCATCTCTCGTGCACAAAGTAAGGCTGAATAATATAATGCCTGCAAACCATGAAACATCACGCACATAATTAATTATGCAGAACCTTCTTGGAAGGGAAGAAGAGACACAAACACATAGCTGGAAGAAGCGATGAAAGTGAAAATAGAGTTTGTAACATGTACCCAGCATATGTACAACCAATAGGCATGTCTGTAGTTACAGCAAGAAAAAACCTATAATCGAATATTGACCATGTAATATGATTAGCTTAGAACCTGTAACGAGTATATAAACTTGAATAATATGACATTTCCTTTCGTCTCCTTCTGGCCTATTTGTCAATAAAGGTAATTGTATCTGGATATTTATATCTGGTGATAAACTTGCACTTTTTGCTGAGATCATTCAAATGATGGTGTTACTAAAAGAGATTAAAGATTGGGGAGGTCACTTACGATGGCATATGTAATCAGAGAGAACATACACCTTTCTTTTTAGAAACTAGAAGGTGAGTATCACCCTCATATCATAGCCAAAAATTAGATGTTAGGTCTTTGGCATGATTAATCAGAGATGTCAGTCAGGCCCGAGAGGTAAAATGTCAATGACGATGTTTCCAGTCCCAAGAAAGAGGAAAAAAATAAAACGAGATAGCAGCATACAACTTATGGAGGAAGACAGTAAGGTAACAGCACTTTAAAGTTCAATACATCAATTAGAACTGATTTCCTCTCTGTAAGCTAGAAGAAAAGTCATGATAGGAGGCTGGCGCATCTACTAATTTGAGCTCGAAAGAATGACTTAATGACATCAGATAAGTATGTAAAGCAACTTCAGATGACAATAGTTAGATTTACCGGGAGAAAGAGAAGAAAAGTAAAATTCAGCCAATACTCCATGGGAAAGTATAATTTTTTTTTAAAAAAAAAAAAGAAAAATCAGAATGAAGAAAGAATATATCTGAGGTAAAAATATCAAAAATGACAAGCTTGCTTGCAGGCAAGAAAAAAGGAAAGACCTGAATTTCCAGAGGGTGGCCATGGATTCCCATACGGCGATCTATCATGCAAGAACCATCAGTCACCAACAAAGTTGGAAACATATCAAAACCATCTGCAAGACATAACTTAAGAATCATCTTCATTCCAGTTTGGACATCAACCCTCTCCTGAAGAGACAAATCTCCAGAGCATTTCCCATATGCCCGTAGCAGTATAATCCACCACAATCCTGGAGTTAATTAATAGAGTCAAAATCTTCACATAACCTTAAATTTTCTATACAAAATACATGCATCAAAAGTTACAAAAGATACCTGAATCAACAGGTGCAACCCGACCAATTGCTGCCTCACCAAAGTCTGGATCCAATACATCTTCTGTTGCAGATTCGTCATTATCAAGTGGAACAGTACGCACTTTGAAGCTGGCGGGCATCAGTCCTTGACCTGGACTATAGCAATCCATTGTTTTCTCCCAACTCTGTTTGGAATAGAACGAGATGCTTAGGGCAAAAAATTTATGAGAGCTAAACTTTTTCAACTTCACCAAGTTAAGTAAAGTGAATCTCCTTAATGAGTCTCACACATGTCCAATAGCATTTTTCTTAATTACTTCTAACTAATGGCAACCTAAGGCCACATTTCAGGGAATTACTAAATCTATGTGACACCCTAGGAGAATCCCACATCGGGAGATATGGTGGGTATATAAGTAAACAGGCCTTAGACCTTAGTGACGCGTTTTAAAGCCGTGCGGGCCTAGGCCCAAAGCGGATAATATCACTAGTGGGTTGGGCCGTTACATATGATATCAGACCACTCCGCGTGCAACCTTGAACGATGGTGGGACAAACCTCAACGAGGACGCTCAGTCCCTAGGGGGTATATGCCCAAAGCGGATAATATCACTAGTGGGCTGGGCTGTTACAATCTCATTGCAGCTAATCGTACAACATGCAACGCCATGGAATTAAAGATAGATTATGCATGTTAAAGGAGTAAGTAGTACATACGAGAACAAGAAAAATTGCAAAAACTCAGTAAGTAGGGAAAGCATAAATAATGAGTTCACAAAGTTAACTTGGGCATAAAATGGCCAGCAGACCAGCAGATATTACATATAATTGCTTAATCCGAAGGAAATTTGCCAGCAGAATTGGCAATGTAGAGACACTATCTTCCATAGTAAGGAGACTAGTTTGGGATCACGACGAGCCAAAATTGTCTTTATGTAACAGGCAACACGGATCCTGAATCACCATAAACAAGTAAATATGACAAAAGCCACACATTCCAATATGAAACAGGTAAAGCAGAAACTCAAAACAACATTTTACCTGCAACTGAAGTGTGTGAAGTATGAAATTCCTCACGATATCATATTCTTCTTTTAGTAGGAACGCTATCCCAGAAGGTATAAAATCACGTATAAATACTTGATCATAGTTTAGCATAGTTGCTTCACTTGGATCATTAGCAGCTATAGTTCCAATTGGGGTGCCACAGTAATAAACCATGGCCGCTCGCAAGAAATGCCACGCTTCATCTTCAATAGAGTCCGTGTTGGTCCTAGGCAAAGCACTATTAACCGTGGCAGCAGTTTTCAGGCCTTTACTGAAAAGCTGAGCTCCATTTTCCTGCTTAATCATCTGTTCATCTTGAGCATGATTTGGAATGTTTGAACTAATTGTGTGAATTGACCTCCCATTTCCATCCTTAATGATTGTCTCATTGAATCTTTCAGGTTGTTGGCAATTGCAGATCAATGAATTGAACTGATTTTGAAGTTTTTCTACGCGAAAAACACTATGTATGCCGCGAAAAGCATTTAACCTTGAGCAATATTTCCACTTACTTAAACCCTTGATCTGCTGATAACTCGTGTCCCCAAAATTTCTACTTTTTAAACAATGCTCATAGCAAAGTAAAGAGCTCGATTTCGCCAAAATTGAACTTGTTCGGAACTGACATGAAAATTCCCCGGATAAAAAGTGTAGGGCTGCTTCTGAAGCCCCCATTTTTAGTAAGAATCTGAAATTTATGATGCCTTCAGCTTTGCAACTGTAGTAATAACTTCTGGATTTAATCAGTGCATTTGCATAAAATAACATAATTTAATTCAGAGAAAGGACAACTTTAACATGAACCAGTAAATTGCCTAAGCTTGGTGACAGCGTTACTCGGTACCTATGCTAGTGAGAGGTAGCAAGTACTCTGTGGAATGCGCCCAAGCTGCCCGGGCACCACTTATAAAAATTACATGAACCTATAAATTCAAATTGGCAAGTTCAAGAATTGAATAAGCTAAACAGACATAAACCAATTCTTGCAGTCACAGTTGTTGCTTTTCTAAATAAAATCAGAGTGACAACTCCAAAGGGTCAATTCCCTTAAACGTAAAGACCCTTTTTAATGGACATCATACCAGTTTACAAACTAAGAAAACTTGATAAGTATAAGAAAAGATCCCTTTTTTTATCTCTCAAAGATCTAAACTTTACTAAAGAAATAGATATTCTTGAGCCTGCTAAGTGAAGTAGTTAAATGAATACTATGTTTTTTTCAGCAGGGAAAGATGGAGAAAAAAAAAAAAAAAAGAGAGAGCAGTAATACAAAAATATGTGGTGACAAGAAAAAGGGGTTGAATTTGCTTACCTAGTTTACAAGATTGGAATATGATTATAAAGATGTTTGCTTTATTGGTTAAAGGTAAAATCTTGCAGCAAAATATCTTGGAGTTTTCTGAATTTTCTGGGGAAATCTTGAGGCTTTGTTCTGCTTTTCAGTGAAACAAGTAGCTTGGGAGTTTATAGTTTATTTGTTTGTTTAACCGTGAAGCCCACGGCCATTGGCCAGAGGACTCGTATAACCATTTATTACTTTTTATATACAAGAATTAATAAATAGTACTACTCCTATTGAATAAAAATAGAAATTGGAAGTATGAATTAAGGAGAGTTTCATCATTTTTGCCAATTGGCAAGTTCCTTTTATGGACCATACGGTTGTTTCCATTATTTTCTTGACAAGCTATAATTTTTTTGGCTTACATCAAATTAGAAGGGAAAAAAAAAAAAGGAAGAAGAATACAATTCTTGTTATAACTTAAAATTTAGATATGCAATTGGTCATTTGATTTTCCAATTATGTCTAGGCAAGTGGTAGGGTACAAGGCAGGAAGGTGGTGGAAAGAAGGAAAAAAAGGGGAAGGGGAGGTGGAGGTGCTAGTAGGATCTTCACGAATTTTACAATTCATTAGTAGTATGATTACAAATTTAATAATTTCAAAGATTTTACATAAATTATATTTCGTAACACTAACCTTTCTTATGCACTAATCTCCATTATTTTACTTATCCTTGTAAGAATTCTTATAACTTATTTGTTATTCATATAAACCCTTAATAATGTAACAATTCTTGGTTGATTTTTTCACAATTTCTATTAAATCTACCCATTAAATTTTGTTAAGTATTCGACAGTGATCAAAAGTAATCACTTTTGACAAACTTAAAGTACCAAAATTATTCAGTAGTATATTTCAGGGGCTATTTTAAAGTATCCCCAAACATAAGGGGACTATCTTTATCATTTTCTCCTTAATAGAGTTACCCTCTCGGGCTCTCTAGTCTCAACAGCAAAGCTTAGCTTATGTCAATGGCGCGAGGCTTGTTGGTTTCTCCACAGACTATAACCTCCTCACAGTTACTCTTAACTTCCATTTCTGAAGCTTCACGCTTAACAAAATTCCTAAATTACCCTTCTTCATCTTCCACCACTCACTTCCGTTTCTCTCTTTCCACTCCCTCTTCTTCTCGCTTTCTGTGTAGTTGTTGCAGTCGCCGCCAAGAAAATGTACCAATCGACATGTCAGCATATTCAGAGACATTTTCAAAGCGTATGGCTATGGCTGGTCTTAGACCCCATCATCGTATTGGTCAGTTTTGCCCCCTCCATTCCTTCCCTTTTTACTTTGTAGGTAGAACTTAGAAGAGGCTAAAGTTGGAAAAGATTGCATCTTTATACATTTTTCTTTTTAGTCTGTCCCCAAAGAATGTCATCTTTCTATATCTAGAAATGATTTAACTTTAAAGTTTTCATTTTACCCTTAATCATATGATTTATAGTCACAGCGTGCTGAAGATATAATTGAGGAAATAAATATGTACCCTCTCTAACAGCTTAAACTTTTAAATAAGATGCTGAAGATGTTCAACATGGTATTAGAGCAGGCTACAGTCATGGGTTCAAGTGTTAGCACTATCCATCATCAAAAAGAATTTTCATGTGCATGTCTAATGAAAAAGAACCAGGGCCTCCTAATTAATTCAGTGAATGTGTGCTTTGACTAACTAGTTAAGATTTTATATGAGACGGTGGCATAATTCAACAATGGTATGGTTTGTTGTTTCCTTATATGCTTGGACAATCCTCACCTCTTCATTTTCTTTACATGGTCCTCACTTATCCCTATTCTTGGTTTATTAAATGTTGGCCCCTCATGTTATGTTATCTAAGCTCCGAAATATCCAGCATTGGGTGTGCAGGAGGTGTTAGAGTTGCACATTGATTGAGGGTATAGTTTGTTGTTTCCTTATATGCTTGGACAATCCTTACCGCATGAGCTAGTTTTTGGAATTGAGTTAGGCCCAAAGTTCATTTTCTTAACACTCCTTGAAGAGGACTTTGAATACATGCCCCTCAACAACTAAGAACAACAATCTATTATTTCTTGGATGGTCTTTATCGTGACCATGTAGCTGAGTTTTCTTCTCAACCTTTTCTGTAGTTTTGGGAGTTTCTGGTGGCCCTGATAGCATGGCCCTCTGTGTGTTAACTGCTGCATGGAAAACCAATAGCCTTGGTATTGCTGCTCAAAAGAATGAGTTCATTGACGGGCTTTTGGCAGTGGTAGTTGATCATGGACTGCGTGCCGAGAGTAAAGATGAGGCCAACCTTGTTCATCGTCGAGTCACTAGCATGGGTATATATTCCTTCAACTTCTTTTTCTTGTCTTGAATTTAATAGCATAGCTTAACACCTTTTAATAGAGATATAATGTAGGCCTTGTATAGGGATCAAATGTGAGATTGCTTCCTGTGAATGGTCAGAAGGCAAGCCGAAGCAGGGTCACTTGCAAGAAGCAGCTCGCGAGAAGAGGTGATTTCCACAGTTTCAATTTCTCTTCAGCTAAATGCTATTTCTGAGCCTTGTAATATCTGTGTGTGCTGGTCTTTTATTGACTATGTGTTATCTACATTCATCCTGATGTTAACAATTTTTTCATTATTGTGAGTAAATAATTTGTCCCTTGTCATTTGTTCAGGTATGAAATTCTCCAAAGTGCTAGTATCCGGCATCAGATTGGTGTGTTGATGACTGCACACCACGCAGATGACCAGGTATTGTCATTACAGCTTCTACTCTGGATTATTGCATGTTTATGTTTCTAAATTAGCACTTTATCAGATGCATTCTGGTTAAGTCAATACATCGAAAAAGAGTTACGCTAATATTATTTGGATAATTTGATGTTGCCTCATCCAAATGTGAGTTGAACGTTATAGGCTTTAACACAATAGACTCGGCAATCGCTAATAGGAGTACTTTACAGGCGGAACTATTCATTCTCAGGTTATCTCGTAATAGTGGTGTGCTTGGACTTGCCGGAATGGCATTTGTTTCACAGCTGTTCTGTACATGTCCAGATTTAAGTGCTGAAGCGAGTGGCAATGGAATTTTATTGGTGAGACCTCTGCTGGAGTTCTCTAAAGAAGATATGTATAAGGTTAGTTTTTCCAGTTTGCCTTTTTGGAGGATTTTCATAGTAGTCTTTGAACTCTGAATGACTTGTTCTGAATCTGTAAGTAGAGTTTTTGAGGTTAATGTTTCATCAGGATCTTCCCCACTTGTGGGATTATACTGGGTTGTTGTTGTTGTTTTATCAGGATCTTAAAATGATTAAACTACATCTTCTGCATTTCGCTTAAAAAATTGAGGGGGTTATTTCTTTTGCTAGTTCATTGGAAGCTTCTAAAGTTGCATTACCTTGTATTGCAGATATGTCTTGGTGCCAATCAAGAATGGGTTGAAGATCCCACGAACAGAAGCACATTATTTACTCGTAATAGAATTCGTATGACATTGACTGACCTGTCATCACGTGAGTTGTTTTTCGTGCATTTGACTTGATTTGTGCACCCAGTGTCTTGGAGAATCCTTGTTAAGAGACCTATATTTACTGTATCTTGATCCTTTTTTCCCCTGCAGCTATCTTCAGATCTGAGTTGCAAGCACTTATTGCTGCTTGTCGGAGAACAAGGTTGCATGTAGACCGCATATGTTCCAACCTGATGCATCAAGCTGTGACTATCATGCCTGTGAGTTTTAGAGTTGAGTTGGGAATGCATTATAACCAACGTGCCATTGTCCCTCTATTGGTACATGATAGCCTTCGGAACAGGTGTACTACCTGTTTGAGAAATGACATCTATCTGCATTTGCTATCACTTCGTGCCCTTTTTTTGGGTATATTGGTTGTCAGTTGGCGGTTTAGCACCATTTTCCTTACATACACATTTCACAGTCCATTACCTGTCCAAAACAGAAACACTAGCATTTTATTCAACCTTATTTTCTTGTCTATAACCTGATGTTCCCCTCTCTTTCTTTCTCATTCTCTGCCTCTACTCCCCTAATTTTTATTTTCTGGGAAGCAGGAAGGGGATGTGGTGATTGACTTAGGAATCCTCAGGCCTTCAGAATTAAAGGACATAGTTCTCTCGAAGTTTATTGCTTTGTTGTTGCAGGTACTGCTACCTTTATCTTTTTTTACTTTCTTTAATCAATTTTTCTCAGACAAGATATTTTGTTGTAGACAGCTTTTCTCGACCTATATCTAATGATAGATACCTACTCATGCCTCTTGTTTCTGGTATCGCAGTTTGTTTCACAAAGGCAAAGACCTGTCAGAGGCAGGGCATCAAAATTGTTGTTAGACTACATTCGGACTTCCCCATGCAAGGTGAATATAATCCAATCTAACTCCGTCTTTGCACACACAAATGAGATATAACATTTGTGGGCAAGAAATTCCTTTGTTTTGAAGTTAAGACTGACAATTTTCAATAACACATTGTCGAATGTATATCACTTATGGCACCTTACAGACCGCTGTTACTGCATCTGGTTGTTATCTTTGTCCTGCTCCTGGCTCCAAAGGCACTAAAGTATTGGTTTGCTGCTCTACTGATGCTGATTTAGCTCTAGAGTTTCTAAATCCATACTTGACTGAAGGAAAAAACTGCTCTATTTCAAATGAGGTAGAGCAAATTGTAGCAAATGGGAGGTCATACTCAGATCAGTTCCCTCAAAATACACTAGGAATGCAATTTTTGGACCTGACATCTTCTGATTCCATACTAGTTGAAGCCAAAAGGGAAGGGATTCTTGGTCAATCTACCTACAAGAGCATTATTTCTCTACAGAGAGAGGAAAGCAATAATTTCGTGTCTAAAACTAATATTATGCTTGAAAACATGGTGCAGCACAAAGTATATACAGCTTCTGCTCCAAGCAAAGTACTCCATCCTGAAAAAGTTGGCTACTTCATGAACAGATTTATAGTGAAGTGGAATCTGAGAAAGCAAAATGCCTGCACTTTATTTTCCATGAATAACTCCAATCAATTCCAAGATTTTGGAGAAGAAAAATGGAACTTTTGCAATTCTTGTCTCGTTGGCCATGATCAGGTGGCCAGGGTCCGTTGCATGGTTGATGCTGATTGGTTGTACCTTGCGACGTTATCAAAGAGAGGGGATAGCAGCAGTCTTCATGAAGAAGAACTTTCCCTTTCAGTGGAGTCACGAGCAATGAGCAACATAAACTTGTGTTCTGCTTGTACAAAGAAATCAGCTGAAAGAGCTCTCCTCTTATTGAAGTCCATTCCAGTCGCAGCAAGAAGAGTTTTACCTGTCTTAGTCAATGTGGATGGGGTGTTGCTAAGCATACCAGTAAGTTGATGCCTGTTTTTACGTCTGCCTTTGTGATACTAATCTGATAGTATTCTTCCTACAGCTAACAAGCCTTCCTGATAAGCTTTACTTTATCATTTATTCTGTTCAGCCTAAAGCGTGAGGCTTCAATTGCCAGCTCATCATTATATTTATGCAAACCTGATAAATGAACAGGCTGGTTCAACCACAAACAAGTTACTCATTTGATTTAGTTTCCTACAGAGACTGGTGAAAAACAGTTTAGACCAATATTTATGGTTGATCCGAGTGGAGTAGATAAAGTGGAGATATTCTCTCTTTGAGCCCTACTGAAATATCTAGGCTGTTCAGTTTTCGCAGCTTGCCTTGCCTCTTAGGCACTGATCCTCTACTTTGTGCTTCTTCTAACAAACACTTACGACCCAACCCATGTTCTATCGCGGTTTCATTTTGTTTAGTTTTCTTAGTTTTTTCCCTTTACTGCATCACTGAACAAGGACACAGATCATAATAATAGCGCAGAACTTTTTGGTTATATAATAACTAGCCACCACTGACTAGATCCTTCTCCTCTTACACTCTGTGGCCCTTTGTCTTCCCTCCTTTCCTTTTTCTGGATCTTTTCAAGATTGAGTGCACTCGATCAACTACCATGCTGTGCAGTAAGACAAAAAGTCACCCAAAATAGCCCCACATTCGCTAATACAAATGTCTCAGGCGTGTGTATATATATTGATAGTTAACTGCATGGTTGACTAGATTGGCTGACATGCAACTGGAGCTGGAACGTGTGTGTTTGATGACAGTAAATTGTTCCTTCTACATTTCCTGTCATTTTGCTCATCAACCATATCTCACAGATTACCTTATATCAGTGAATATTATGCTTACTACCATTGTAGTTCATAGCCAATCCGAAGTCAGGCTGTAGGTAACTAGTTGTGAGGGCATTAATAGTGTAAAATACAATCACAACATCCCTGAAAAACTTGGGGTTTTTTGTTTTCCGCACCTTCCATGTTTTGATGTCATTTCTTATTTCTCCGCAGTTCTTTATCTTCTCTATCAACTGATAATAAGGAGTAATTATGTTCTTTTGCTTCTATTTTATCAGTGTGTGGGCTTCCAGCACTGTCCTTGCTTGGTGGCATCAGCAACATTTAAGCCAAAAATACCGTTGGGTGGAGGTTACAATTCATTCCTCTAGCTGTTTCGCAATGTAACCAATGTGATCTTGTTCATCATGATTAGTGTAGCTGGTCCTCTGCAGTGTACCAGAGGGAAACGTCTCTACTAGCGAGAGGTAATCTGAATTTTGGACATTGTTCGATTAGGATGCATGGTACATGTCTAAGATGCATAGAGACTCTAGCATTGGTAGAATCTGAATATTGACACTTAGGGTTTAGGACCTAGGGTTTAGTCCCTATAGAGCACATTATATCCAAGAAGCAGCTGGCAACTATTTTCTTGTATAACAACCGCTCAACAGAAACATGAAAAGCTGCAGATCCTTTTAGGTGGCAATTGTGTCAATGAGAAAGCTACATTTGGATGTAAAGTGATTAACATCTGTTGCAATTCTCGTGGCTGACATCTTATGTTTTTTTTCTCTCTTTTGGGTAATTTTAGGAGCAAATATTTAAAAAATCAGGGTTCGGGTAAAGCTACCACTAGGCACCAATGGCAACATAGATTATTTCAAAGTCGCTATGTTAGGTGTCATTTGAAATCTATAGCATTGCAATAACGTAACTGAGAATAAACCGATTTTTAATCTTGTGCAAAGTCAAGCCTAATAAAACATTAGATTTCCAATTAATAACTTCAAATTTTGGATCATGAATCCTCTCTCTGTACTTTGTTTCAAATAAGCGCCTTAAAGCTAGCTAATCCAGCTAGCAAGCCATAAAAGAAAGGGGAAAATTAGTAAAGGTGCCCTGCGCGAAACTAACTCTTCTAAAACCTGAAATGGGGAAGGAGAAAGAAAGGAAGGACTAACGAAATAAAGATATGGTTAAACTGCAGGCAGAAAATCACTTCTCATTTTTAATCAGATCGTGAAAGAAGTATCCTGAAGCAAACCATAATCCTTCAAGGAGATAATGGAAGTACTGCATATTGACAACTTACCATGCCCATAACACCGTTTACTCGTTCAAGACAGCCTCTAAAATGGAGGTAAAAACATATACCTCCATTGACGATCTAAACCCAACAAAGACTATAGCTGCAACGATACAATTAAAATCCTATCACATCCAGTATATTTTACATTAGGGGGTATTTGAATGCAGAATTAACATGAGGCAATAAACTAAAGTTCTGTATTGCCTTTTCTATAATAGACAAAACAATAAACACATAGGCGAACCTAACTACATCATACTCTAGTGTTTAAGCATCATCCATGTGGTTATCATTGTCATGGTCGCCTTCATAATATTCATCGTCACGCTGGATATGCTTATCTTGGGTGTGCTCTGTGAATACAAGGCAGGGTAAAAGTGTTATATCACTATAGTTCTGAATTTGAGCATGTTATGTGCTTAAAGTCACATTTCTACTTACGATCCACACGCTCGTCTGGATTTTGGTCATCTTCATCAAAATCAGGAATATAGAAGTCGGGTGGTACCTACAAAAATATGAAAGTTTTCAGACTCCATGCAAGCCACTATCTTTCCCCAGATTCCTTCAGGCGTCCATCACAATCATGGTTAGATCCATTCCACGCACTTTTGATGACAGTTACAGCACATAGCAAATGCAGGTTGCTCTTTTTTTATGCATTGGAGAAGCATTCTCACAGTGATAGTATGTGAATGATTGTAGAACCACAGTAGAAGCTGAAACTTCCCTTTTACATGATTGTGTATTTTCAAAGGAAGGATGATCAACATAAGTCGTCAAGAGGCAAACACTTTCAAGGGCAAAATGTATCTCAAGTGCAATGCCACGGCAATCCGAAAAAAAATTAAAAATAAACAACCTTTTTAACTGTGCAAGGCAAATTAAAAATTGCAAGTTGCTCAAGTCATATAAACACAAAATATAGCATGCAACTATGTAAAAACAAACACATGTAATTATGCATTCTTGATTAGTTGGCAACCCGAAATTACAAAAGATGCACTTGACTTACTTCTTGCATTTGTACACCAGGAGCATGCTGGATGCAACGAAGATTTTCCATAACTTGCATTTTTATGGTGCCAATGTATGATTTGCTATTCAAGTTCTCCTGTTCAATCAATGAAACAACAAGTTGAGCAAGATTACGATGCTAATTTGTTATCCTTTTTTACTATTTTCTTTTTATGACCGAGAAGTCCATCGGGAGATGATGGGCCAACCGCATCTCCAACCAGCCTTCAAAACTCGAGGATGATGGGCCCGCCCCTCTACCCTTCTCCACTTAAATACTGGACTTAGTTCGCTTGGCACAAGGCTCGAACTTGCAACCTAAGACACATTTCCCTGAACCTTTGGGAGTTGAGCTAACCCCTAAGGGCTTATCCTTTTTTACTACTTGAAAACGCTCAATGAGACATGGCACAAAGGATCAAGCGATCTGGTCATCTTATGGTTAATACAACTATGGTGTGCCAAATGAATGTAACTGGAAAAAAGGACTGCAAACCTTGAGTAAGATTAGGACGTGTTGTGTAAGGAAAAAAACAACAAAAATATTTCAACTTACTATGTGCCCGCCAGGAAGCTTTAATGAATAATCAGGGCCAAAATATTTGATGTAATCATTATCTGGAATTTCTGCAAGACGAAGTATACAATAAATTAGTCAAACAAGCCTCTCTATAATAAAGAATATAAACATTCAGCTCATCCCCAATAACATCGTATAAGCTGATATTTTACCAATCTCATTCAAAGTTGAATTCAATGTTAAACAGCACAAACCCAAAGCAAGGAGTCAAATATCAGTAACTCCAGAGTCCACATAAACCTCGCGAAAATTTATCTAGTCATAATGCGATAACTTTGACCAAACAGTAACGTGAATGGTTGAAAGTAATAAAAGGTTTTCTAACTCGCACACACAAGATCGATTCAGTGTTAGAAGACCAATCCACCCTTTCTTTCTGTTTTCGCTGAACAATTGCCAAAGACAAAGCTACCAAGTTGCTGATGAATCCACAGGAAGTGCTAAATGATTGGTGTCAGAACAGTTTACTTAATATACGTGTCCATGATAGTTACCCAGTTAAATTTTCTTAATAACTCAAAAAGAAGAAACTGTTACGGACTATGGAAAGGAAGAGTAAGCCTACAAAACAGTTAGCACTTGGGAAACTGGGTAAGTGCTAAACCAATAACTCAAATACATCAGGCAACAGATCTGTACTTAGAACCATGTTCAATCAATTAATATATCAATCAACTACCCCTCAATCCCAAGAAAAGTTGGGGTTGGCTATATGACTTGCATCTACAATATTGGGATGGAATTCACGGTACACCAAATTAACCTTCACGGTCAGATAGTGCTACAGTGAACATCAGTCAACTATCTAGATCAAACCTGGACAAAAAAATTCCTCTCTTCTGTCTGCTCGGTAAAGCGATTCCAAAGCTCACAGCCAGTTAGAGCTATAAACATTCTGCCCCATTCAAGTCCAAATCATTCCAGTACTACTTTGCTTATAGATAATTTGTCTTTTAAGGTCAATTATGAGTTCTCAGTTTTCTAAAAGTTCTAAATCTCATACTTATTCCTATACCTGCATACAAGTCTCTAGCCTGGGTAGAAGAACTTCCGGATAATGGACATAATGCAAGTGGAACAATAATAACTAAAACTTAATGCCAAGGATATCTGTAAACCAGTATTCCTTGTTGCATAAGCACAAAAAGGAGTAACACATTTTTGCATTTTGCATCCTAACTAAGCTGTTGACAGTCATGAGAAATTACTGAAACAAGAATAAGCAGTGTGAATGCATCACACAAAATAGAAGTCTGCTCAACATACCATTAGGAAGTTCTGTGTCTAAAAGAACTCCAGTTTCCAGTGCCCAACATCGGGCAACGTTCTCTTTTGTGTATCCCCCACCTCCAGTTACCTGCAAAAGGTCCCGTGCAGTTACAGAGACAGGTAACATGTTATGAACCTGAAATGAAATTTTGATTTGAGAAACACCCACCAGCAACGGCAAATTAAATTTCTTCACAAACCTTACGCATTCAGCATGCCCTGTAAGAAGCATCCATTGATAGATATAGATTTAAAATCAACAGAGGAAATCCCACCAAGAGCTGAATAGTGAGATAGAACTACACTGCTGAAAGTGTTTAAAATAAGATTTTCCAATTACAAGTAGAATAGCACCATCAATGGAGAGGTTGAAGCAGCCCAGACGGTCACCAGCTAGTGAATCTGCCCCACATTGCAGAACTATCGCACCAGGTGAATATGTTTCCACAACCTTTGCTATAATCTATGAAATGACATGTTCCAAAAGCTTTAATAAATCAACAGAACACAGTAAAACTAATATTGCAGAAAACTTTCTTCATGACTTACTGTTTTGAAGAGTCGAGTGAAGATGGCATCATCTATTCCATCCTTGAGAGGCACATTTATGGAATAGAATCTTCCATCTCTTTCCCCTGTATCCTTCAGAATGAAACCACAATAAGCACAGCTAATGGTGTTCATAAGAGGGGTCTTCTCTGAATGCAAGGGGTAGAAGTTTCATCCTAAATGATGAATTTACATCATCAAGAGCAAACATAAACTTTAGACGCACATGTACTACAAAATTGATTCCATATTATCAAACTCTTCCCATTACTGAAAGGCAGCACATGTGCTTTCTCAAGAAAAACTCATGTTAGTTATTGGTTTAAGAATTTGACGTTTGCAGACAAACTCTGCTGGTCAAACCTAAGTAAACCAAATGTTCCATTTTTCTAATCTTCCCTTCTTTAGCACTTTATGATAGCACAAAGGGGTGGAACTCCACTCAAACAGCAGTACACAACAAGGCATAATCGAGCAACTTATAATAATGGGAAGTTTGGCATGAACGATGACATAAAAGATACAGAACTTCAGAATTTTTAAATGACCTAATAGTTTTATTAATGCGAACGCAAAAGAATCCTGCATACAAGGTGTACACAGAGCTGCACACCTTGACAGGGTTCAACCTTTTCTCAGCTTTCAAGCCTTAGATTAGCTCTAAGCTTCTAATGATATCAATGATTGATTTTTCAGTCCAAGAGGTCAGCCATAATGTACACCACCTCCCCCGTCCTCCTTTTATTTGACCTAATTTCCTTATCAATTTATTCTCATTTTCTTTACTCATTTCTCTAAATGGCTGAGTTTCCCAAAAATCGGAATAGCTACTTTGAAACTTTTACCTTGATATAGCACTCTACTGACAAGATATCTAATGTTTTATTGCAACTATTCCTTCACCATAAAACATTCGACCTACTTTATTTCTCTTGCCCATCACAAATAATGTCACCTTTTTTTCTGGAAGGAAAACCCAAGCTATCAAACTAATACATACTAACTACGATATTTCTTGATTTTGACATGACATCCTTTTTAATAACGTAGTTGTCGGAACCAGTTTTCACACACCTCGACATCCACAGGGTACAAGATACCACCAATCAGTACAACCATCAAGGCTAAGGCAAACATAGATAATTCGTCTTGTCTCACCTTTAGTGTACCCTTTTATTAGGATCCAAACCTGCATCCCCGAGGTTGTTACTCAAGTTCTTTGACTGCTAGGCACACATTTGAGATATAAACCTCCCTTTTTTTCTATAAACATTGAGATATAAATCCGTTCAACTATTTCACTTTTTGACAGTTCAAAGATTCTTCTCCTAAGTTATCCTAAGTCCTACTATCTAAACTAGGTAATCTCTTTGAAATGGAGGAAGTAATTTCTTTTAAATAAATGGTGGTGTTTGGATCATTTTTCTCTCGCCTCTACTTATCACAGGGCCTGCTTGCTCCCACCAAGACAAGTACTTGGAGTAACGGAAGTAACAAAATAGCACGAAAAAGTCAACAAAATTCAAATGAACCCACATAATATTAGCTCATGTTAGACTGTCAAAGTTCAAAGAAATCTGGAGAACAAAAAGAAGAATAAACTGTGAAGATAAGAGTACCTTCATATCACCAGTTCCAGGAAAGAACTTATCTCCATACTTGTGGAAACTAACTGTCATAACCCTGCAAAGAGCTCTAACATTAGAAACTTAAAGATTCCGGCACATGTGTAACATCTTAGATTGCAGTAAACTCAGCAAATATTTATCTCTAGTAGAAACAACTCATGAGAAAGAGTGCACTTTCTACACCAAAAAGATTATATAAGGCTGTCCTTTAATGAGCACCTAGCAAAGCATTAATGCACTTACAAATATATGAATCTAGAAAGTTTAACACTAACATTTTGAGTAAAAATGTCAAAGCAAAAGAACTTAGTAGCAAGCAGAAATCATTCCAAACAAAAATATTCAAACTGTGCATTAGCAATCAAAAAGAAATGTTCAAACTGTGCATTAAGTGAACAAATCAAACAGTTGGAAACCACAATCTGTCAATACTTAAAAGTATTCAACTGGTGCCTAGGTGGAAAGCGCATACCCACAGCAACTGAATAAATAAGCAATCCAACAATCAAGTGAAATATTGCAACTACAATCTATCAATGCTAAAGTATTCAACTGGTGTTTAGGTGGAAGTTCCATACTCACAGCTACTGAGTAAATAAGCAATTTAATAATCAAGTGAAATGTGAAGTTGAAGTTCTAATTTATTCGTAGGTGTGACACAAGATATGTGATATGAAGGTAGGTTTAAAATACTTCTGAGGCCCCATCTACAGTATAGTTAAGAAAAAAAACTTCTACAGATTTCACTCCGGGGAAGTTCATCGTCATTTGGCTTCTTGGAGTCACAGTCTAGATTCATAGCTACTACTTTAAAGATTCCTCTGGGTTTATCATTTATCCTCAGGTTTGACACTAGCTCCAAGCGACAAAGAAAGCAACCGCAGAAGTTGAAAACAAAAATTTTTGGACAAAACCTACAGAAAGTAATGTCACCTGACAGTACTTATATAAAAAAGTAATTCCACCTGTCTGTGAAATAAAAGGCCTCTTCTACACCATCACCGTGATGCACATCAATATCAATATACAGCACCCTCGCATGATACTTCAGTAGCTCCAATATTCCCAGAACTAGGTCATTTATGTAGCAAAATCCTGAAGCAGCACATTTCTTGGCATGATGCAATCCACCAGCCCAATTTATAGCAATGTCACAAAGCTGATTATTCAACCTGCGTGCAGCATCTGCCAGCAAATGTTTGTTAGAGACTGTGAATATGAGACTTCAAGTGAAATACCATGCTATCAAATGTCACGTTTACCTATTGTTCCACCAGCATAAATTTGGCAAAACTCGAATAAGTTGTCAAATACAGGGCAATCTTCTCCAAGATTATCTGATAAGTAACAAGAATTAGGTATAGTTCGACATCACATTACTCAAAATAAATTGGCTAAAATATGCTAAAAAGCATAGTAGTTCTTAGAAAAGATAATGAAATGTTTCTAGTTTGAAATCTGATCTTATAGTGAGTTGCTAGGGGAATCTTAATAGTCCAATTGGTTGGCTATCTGCACTTTCACCTTGTTAGTGAGAGTCCGATTCCGCACCTTGTAACCACCCACCCCCCAATTTCCCCTTCCCTTATGTATAATAATATTTTAGAAAATAGTTAGCTGGTAACCGAACCTGTATAAAATGTAGAAAACTTTGTTAGAGAACCTAAGTTTTTTAATGTTCAAACCATACAGGTCTAAGCGGAGTGACATGGACACTAGATTGGGTTTTGAGGCCTATTTGCTGTTGTTGTGTTGGGTTTGTTTCATGGAAAATGACTAGTCATGTAGTACTACAGCAATAAAACAAATAAGCATGCAGCTCAAAGATAATATTTTAACGGAGAAGAGATGAAATAAGTCAAAGTTCAAAACTTACATCTAGCCATTTCACTAGGGAACAAGTGCTGGGTATCAGGGGTAATCCGGTTCAAGAACTCAACATAATCAGCTGAATGAAACTGCGCTAGCTCCACTGGGTATGCTTTATGAGGCCTCTACATATTGCAATCGAAAAAAGGTAAACCAGATAAAAACGAAGAACTTCAAAAAAACACAAAAAAGGAAAACTGGAAAAAGTTACGAACATAGACTTCCATCTTGTTGTGAAGACCATAGGCTAAAACCAGATGATGAGTCATACACAACCTGTGCGGCTTCATTGGATGGTTCGGACCGAAGTACACGCTTCCGACATCGCCTGTAACAAAAATTCAGCTTTTACGTAAACAATTATAAACGCTAGCATACAGAATGAGCAGGATCTGGGGCTTGGGAAAAAGAGAAAACTGTACCGTCGTAGAAGTAGGAGATTTTGTCCTTGGACCGCATTTTGTAGAGCGAATAGTTGCTATGTAGAGAGGAAGCTGAGACTCCCGGTGTTGTTTACGGGGACTTTGCCGGCGGGAGAGGTTTCCCGGGTTGCCGTCGGCGATTGCTGTGAAATGAACAACGGGCGACTCGTGGATTTATATATCTTTAAATGAAAAACTAAAAGAGACTCTGCCAACTAGTTATATTGTTAATTCAGAATTAAGAAGTTTTTAATTCAAAATTTATTTTCCAGCTTATTATTACTTCGACGAATTAATTCTTTGTTTAATTAACAATTGTCTAATCAAATATTATGTGATTTCTTTTCATTTGTATAATCATTAGTTGGTGAGTCCTAGTGCTAATAGCAGCTGGCAGATGTGTGCAAAACCTGAATACTATCTTTTCTTCTTTTTTGACGACGAGGGAATACAATCTTGTTACTATTAAAGAAAAGAAAATTGACTCACATAAACAATATTTTGAAATCCTCGTTTTTTTATTGGGAAAAAGGCCAAATATAACTCTCAACTTTATTATATTATTCATATTTACCCTCCATTATACTATTGAATCACATGTACCTTACCGTTAATCAAACTTTTAAAAAATACCATCCACCTAACAGAAAACTACCAAATTAAAAAATAAATGACTCGTTTTCTTTTTTTGAAAAGCTCATTAACTCATAACCCATGATTTTTTAGCTCTGATGATCTAGGTATGTATGCTTCCATTGCATACAAAGAAATGGACATTGGGCTCGATCTGAAAATAGGCACTCCAAAATCATAATGTTGAAAATCAAAGCTCAACCCATAGTGGTACTAGATTTCTCTATCTATTAGTAAATTGAGGGTATTATTAAGCAAGGAGATTAAAATTATTTCTATTTGTAGATGGTGCTGAATCAAGAGTCAATTAATTGTATATGGACTGGTTATAATCTTATCCATGAGGACTAGTGATTCTTCGAATTCAATATTCAACATGATAAAGGAAGTTTAGGTGCTTGTAGCATTTTCTCATTGTTATTAAAAGTTTTATTATAATATACAAAGCTGATTTCGAAGAAACCATCTATAATTGTGATTGATTTCTAATGTGTTGGTCTATCCATTATGAGCTTGATTCTTTCGACTTTGTTCTTTCAAATGTGATATTTTCTACGGTAAAGGGTCAAATATACTCATGTACTGTTGGATATAGTATTTAGAAAGGCTTCGTTATACTATTGGTACTTTTGAGTCCCAACCGTTACACTATTAAATATTTCTACCCTTTCTTTAATGGAGGGGACACGTGTTCATTCCCTGTGCAATTTTCAGACCCAAGTTATATTACCCGTCTTTATTAAGACACGACCCACCCAATTCAATAACCAATAAACACTTAAATGAAAACGACCCTTCCCATTTACACCAGCCCTAGTTTTATCTCTCTTTTCTAATCCAAAGTTCTGTACTGGGTTCAGGTCCTACTGCGCATGAAGTTTGGCAATTTAGGGTTGGACGAGTTCAAAGGTACTATCTTTCTTCATGAAATTGTTCCTTTTTTTGTTTTTTAGTCGATTTGTTATACAATTTTGTTTGGATGTTCTAGCTAGTATGGGATTTGTGTTCTAGGGTTTCGAATAATTTCTTAAAGGTGGTTTAGGGTTTCTTCTTTTTGTATTGTTTACATTTTCTATTGTTATCGAGACAATCCTATATAAATTTGGTTACTTTTTGTTTGTTAGTAAAGCAATGGGTCCTTTAAATCATTTGCATGTCGGACATTCTAGGTATTATTTGTTGTGTTGTGAATTCTTTATTAAGGGAGGGCCCTCATAGTGCCACTTTAGATGCAGATTCTGTCTTTCTTTATTGTGGTTGGGGGGGGGGAGGGGGGGGAGGGAGGGGGACCCCATATGTTTATTCGTATTTTTATGCCTCTTTTGCTAGTTCCTTTACTGTTTTCTTATTTTTATTTTGTCTTTTATTTGTTGCATGCTTGCAGAAAGTCAGTGATGGTATTAAATGACTTAATAATTTATTATGGCGGTGACTGGATTTGCAAGCCACAAGTGCTATACCCAAAGAAAGTGCAGCACATTAAGAAAGGGTATGACCCAGACCTTCTATCTTTTGTTGATTTAGTCAATGAGTTCACAGAAAATCTGGGTTATGTAGGGGTTCAAGTTCAGCAACTAATAGTTGAAAGTCCTTGTGGTACACTTTATGAGATTGAAGGAGATGGGGGGATTAGACATTTGTTGAAGCTAATTTGTAATGAATATAAAGTAATCAACCTGTTTGTTGTTGATGAATGTGATCCTTCCTTGCATAGTATATCAAATATCGTGCACCATAATGTTGATGAGGTTGGCACTTTGTAGCTTGAGTGATATAGGGTCTGACTCTAGTTCTGATTCTGATGGGTATGATTCTGAAGAACTGAAAATTGTTAAAATCACAAAAAAAGAGGGACATAACTGAACAACTAATGAGTACAAGGAGTTGTATAAGGGTATGACCTTTAAGGATACTGTAGAAGCTAAAAAGTGTCTTAAGTTGTATTCTTTGACCAATAAGAAAGAACTGAAATTGGAGAAGAGTGACAAGATTAGAGTTAGGTATACTTGCACAAACACAAAAGACTGCCTTTGGTTTGTTTAGTATCCAAGGAAGGGGGTTTTGGGGTTAAAACTAAGACCCTAAATCCAAACCGTAGTTGTGGCACTTCATTTGATAATTCTACTGTTGACTATCACATAATAGCTTAATGAAGACGGGTTTTAGTTTGGAGCTTAGACCATATATTGGTCTTGATAGTACATTTTTGAAGGGGAAGGCCAAGGGAATATTGCTAGTTGTTGTTGGTCAGGATAGTAGCAATCACTTCTACCCTTTGGCATGGGCAGTTGTTGACAAAGAAACAAAGGCAACCTGGATTTGATTTATGGAATTACTGAAGAATTCTTTGAACCTTAAAGATGGTCAAGGGATCACTTTCATGTCAGACATGCAAAAGGTAACTTTCCTGTTTTATTGTATTTCTTCTTTCATTTACTTTGGTGTTTTGTGCACACTATCTGATACAAGTTTTTTTGGGTTGATTTGAAAATATCTACGGATTAACTGAAGCTGTCAGAACTGTCCTTCCAGAAGCACACCACAGATTCTGTGTCAAGCATATTGAGGCTAACTGGTGCAAATCATTTAACACTAGAGAACACAAGAAGCTGCTTTGGTGGTGTGCATGGGCCACATATGAAGAGGAATTCAAATATCAACTAAAGAAATTAGGAAAATTGAAGAAGGAAGCTGATGAGGGTTTGTTGAAGTATCCACCTCAAGTTTGGTGTAGAGCTTACTTGGATATTGTATGTAAGAATCAATCAGTTGATAACAACCTAACTGAATCCTTCAACAAATAGATTCTGAATGCTAGATTCAAGCCAATAATTAAGATGTTGGAGGATATAATACTCAATGTCATGAACATGATAAGGATACATGACGATGAAGTGAAGACATGGGCTACTGAATGCAGTCCAAAAAGCATGCAATTGTACAGTGAGTATCTACAGATTGGTCACTGTTGTAAAGTCAATGCCAATGGTGACAGTGAGTATGAAGTGTCTGGGGGAGGTGATAAACATTGTGTTAGGCTGGATTTGGGGATGTGTACTTGCAGGGCATGGGGTCTTAGTGGAATCCCATGCCCTCATGCTATTGCAGCTATACTCCATAAGAATATAGACCCACCAACAGGAATGCATTTGTGGTTTAGCAAGGAGGTATACTTATTGACTTATAAACACAAGTTGCAGCCTGTTCCAGGTGAAATTTTTTGGAAAATTGAACCTTCCTAAGCAATGGAACCACCAGATTTGTGAAGATGGCTGGCAGGCCAAACGTTAAGAGGGACAGGGAGAAGAATGAAGCAATTAAAAGGCAAGGAGGGTGATCTTTGTCCAGAAAGGGTAGGGTCATGACTTGTGGTAAAGATGGACAATCAGACCATAATGCAAGGACCTGTGGCATGGTAAATATATCATATTCACTTTTATTTAGTTGTATTTGTGTATATTACCTCATTTAACTTCTTTGTTTAACAACCATCAAAGGGGAAAGGCAAGGTAAAGCAACCTCAAAAGAGGCAAAGATCTTTAATAGATGAGGAAACAGAAGAAGATATAAGCTTATCAGCTCCTCCAGTATCTCAACCCAGTCAAGGCAAAGAATTTACCTTTATGCCAACACCTACAAGTAGGAGAGGTGGCCAGTCAAGCAAGAATATAGATGCTAACATCCCAGAAATTGGCAATAATGAATGTCGCACCTCCTTTTTATTGACTACACCCCGCAAAGGGTGTAGAGGAGTTTTTCCACTTAAAGGACAATCGGAACGGGATTTATTATTAAAATTCAGAGTCGCCACTTGGGAGATTAATGGTGTCCCAAGTCACCGGTTGAATCCCGAACCGAGGAAATTATGACTCTGTTAACAGTCAGCGAACCAGAAATCCGAGTAAGGAATTCTGTTAACCCGGGAGAAGGTGTTAGGCATTCCCGGGTTCCGTGGTTCTAGCACGGTCGCTCAACTGTCATATTTGGCTTACTTGTTTGATTTTAGTACATGTTTTAATCTATGTGCCTTTAACTTTGAACGCTTTTATTCTTATTAATTTAGAGAGTTGCAACGTCGTGAAAATGCGCCTCAATCCACGTCGCACCAGTGCACCCGTGAGTGTTAACACATTTCAACTTCGTTGAGATTTGGATTTGGGTCACATAAATGTGCACCCGAATTTAGGAAGGTAATTTTATTAAAATCGTGTGCCTAAAGAGACTATTGCGTTATTATCTTTGGGGAAGGCTGTGGAATTCACTAACAACCCATCCCGAAGTCTAGGTATTTTAGTATAAACATTTATCGAGGGCCCCGCAATTTTACATTGTATCCGGTGAGGCTCGTCCCGTTTTATTATTTAAAAGGGTAAACCTAAAGTAACTACAATTTTCTATTCGATTTGTTAATAATAAAAGAAAAGGTCCTAATTAATTTATTATTGGATCAAAGCACACCAAATGATAATTCTGCGATAAGGCCAACCACAGGGCTCCGAGATAGCCCGACAGAGGAGAATTGTACCCAAGTCTACACCAAAATTTGGCCAATTACAGACTTTGGCCCAGGCCC